TTTTTTCTTTGGTTTTTCTTCAGTCTCAGTATGTTAGTCACCGAAAAAAGTTCTTTAAAGTTTAGGTTTATCGCCTAAATCTTGTCCGCCATATTTGTTATTGTTATTGCAACGTAAGCAGTTTAGCGGGTGAGTTTGGGCGAAAAGCAGGTGAGTTCGGCAAAAGCAGGTGAGCTCGACGACAAGCTCACCTGCTCTAAACCAATCAGAAAGCCGCTTTTAACACAGGTATGGGATAATATAACAAACATACTTGCAGGGAGGTGCGTCCAATCCCGGACTCACCGAACCTGCAAGTATGTTTGGTTTTTATCACATGCCCAGGCATTAAAATAGCGTGTCCTTGTACACACTTTGTGTCCTTGTAAAAGGCGAATGTGCCCTTGTAAATTGAAAAGTGTGTACTTGAAAATATATTAAACTGAAAATATATGTTAAATGTAATCCACGCAAAATGGTCAAAGATTTTGCAAATTCTGTTCTCAGAACTCTGGAATTGCCATTTCAGAGACCCCCTTAAAAGCTCGCGTCTTCGACGCTAAACTTGTGGCTTCGCCACTCGGTGAGTCTGCGCATTTATACCAAAAATACGCCTCTGAAGGCAAAGTGTGTCCTTGTAAAAATTCCGTATTTTAATGCCTGCACATGCCATTTCGGTAAAATACTAAAAGTATGCTGAAGAATTTTATACGCATTTTACTTTTTAGTATAGAATTTCGTGTTTGGATAACGAACATTTTAGCCGCAACATACTACGCAAACAAACAAACTTAGGCTTAAATTAAAGCTAAAAAAATTCTCTACAATATTCCCTTATTCTTGAAAAGAGAAAATGCACACATTCTGCGAAAACATTGCCAAGATTTATGTAAACCTGGCTGTGCCGAACAAATTTCGGCGGCCATCTTTCTTTTCTTCCACTTTGAATACAGAATATTCCATTTTCATCAAATAAAATAAAAAAAATAATAATTACAAAACAATTAAAAACAGTTAGTTTATTTTTTATTTACATTTTCGTCGGAAATTTGTTCAAATCGCTTCATAATGGCCGCCGCCGAAACATCGATCTCGAACCCACCTCCTAAACATACGTCAGCAGGTGGGTTCGAGATTGAACGCACCTCCTCGTAGTCAATAGGAAAGCCGCTAGTACGCTAGGTATGAGATAATAGTCCTTGTCTTTAATGTATGTCTACCTATTGTTTTATATCAGGTTGGTCTTCACATGGGACTCATGTCCTGTTGACCATGCCTTCAATCATTAATTGTTGTAATTTTTTGTATGATTGTAAAGTTAATAAATAAATAGTAATTGTCTGCCAAAAAGCATGTTTGGTTTGATGTTTGAAGCATGTTCATAATATTAAGGGTCCGAAAAATAAATAATTTCAATTATAAGGTACCTTCTGTATTGTCTTGTGGAATGGAAAAGCATCTATTGCATTGAAACTAAAGGCTTAATTACCAGTTAATTTTCCATCAATTAACTCAAAATACGATTAAAGCCACAGGGAGCCCATTCCGGGTCTTATTGAAATTATGTATTAGAATTAAGTATGAAATATGTAGCTCAGTGTTGAAGCCTGCGATTTGGGGCTGTGTGCGGGCTAATGCGCGCGTAGAATACACAATAAAGAAAATAATAAAGGGATGAAACATCGACGAGTGCCTGGAAGCCCAGAATAGACCTTTCCCCTTTTGAGTGAAATTTTGATCTAGACAAGTCTGGACAAAAATTTCATCACAGCTTGAAAGAGCATCACAAAATTAGTAATATTCCGAGGTTTCGTTGTGAAATGTTGTAAAATGCGGATAATATATAGCCTTGCGAAGTTTGCCGTTTTTCAGTCATTTTGTACTACAAATGGGAAATTGATAATCAGTTTGATCATCTGATTATCAATTTCCCGTTTGTGATGCAAAATGACTGAAAAACGGCAAACTCCGCAAGGCTATATTATCCGCATTTTGCAACATTTCGCATTTTGTGATGCTCTTTCAAGCTGCGATGAAATTTTTGTCCAGGCATATCTAGATCAAAATTTCACTCATAAGGGGAAAGGTCTATTCAAAGCATAATATCAGTGTGTTTAAATAAAAAGGTCAGAGTTTTATTATGTTGTAAGGTCCACTAGGACCTGTTCTTTCATATCGTCTAGCCAAAACCTCCCAAATAGTTTCTAGAGAAATTTTTCGATTGATCGCACAGCAGTGAATGGTTGGATGTGTCGGGATGTGTTCCACAGGTTGCTATGACATGCTGAAATGCTTACGTATTTCCTACTACACACTCCACAGATCTCTCAAATCATATCAAAAATATTAAATAGTATTGTAGCTGTTTGGATATTCGAATATAAAACACATATAAAATTGTAAACACATACAAAACAAAATTTAAAAATCAGTGATCGGCCGGTCCCTCGGCCAGCCGTAAAAATTTCAAAAAATATATGAATTAATTTACCAGTAAAGGGCGATATTTTTTTGATTTTGCAAATTAGTTGCAGATGACAAGTTTGTAACCAGAAAGGTAATTTCTGAAAGAACAAGTTCTTTTGTTGAAATTTATAGAAACTTAAGTCGATAATTTGTCAATGTCATAGCATCCAAAAAAACACATGCTTCCAAGCACTCGTCGATGTTTTATCCCTTTATTATTTTCATTATTGTGTATTCAACGCGCGTGTTAGCCCACACATAGCCCGCAAATCGCAGGCTTCAACACTGAGCTATATATTTCATACTTAATTCTAATACATAACTTCAATAAGACCCGGGATGGGCTCCCTGTGTTAAAGCTTTTAAATTTCGTGCGCAAGCCATTTTTCGTTCGTTTGGAAAATTCTTATTCTACATTATTCTACATTATGGGTACTCAAGGAATTTATATATATAACAAAAACTTCATGATACCACGAGCAGTTTTGCGAAATTGACAGCAATTTCAAATCTGCTCAGTCTTTTTATACACCCAGTAGTAACTCGAAGATCGCGGGTTCGAAACCCAGCCGCGGCAGGCAAAGTTTTCTGTTTGCGCGCTGTCTGGAAATTATGATATATTTCACTCGAGAACATATAGATAGAGCAGAAATAGTCGCTTTACCTCAAAAGGCTGCCAGAAAAGCATGTTTCAGGCGCAGAAGATCCAAAAGGGCGCAAAATATCCAAACTTACCACCAGAAAAAGAGAACAGGAATTGCGATGATAGCTGTAATAAGCAAGAACATTCTCCAGGCAGGAACTAAGTATCCAATCAGAGGCACTATTGATATTCCCACAGACCAAAACATGAAGGAACCAATCCCCATCCATGAACGATATTTGTCAGTTGTGAATTCCGTAAGCATAGCAAAACTAGTGCTATTTCGGAACCCTGTGAAAAACGAAGATCACTGTAAGTCACTAATCTGAAAACCAGGAATGGATTTATTATTATCATTATTATTATTATTATAACATCTAAGTATTTACAAAAATTATAAAGGTTGTTTTTCAATAGGCCGTGTTACTAAATACAAATTAAAATTCGAATATTAGTATAAAAAATTTAAATGATAGTAAAACTGTTTTGGTCGAAGTGATACGTTAATTAAACAGTACATATATATTGAAGATTAATTATTTATAGTAGATTTTAAGCTTTTATACTATTATAGTCCCCGAGCCGACGGCGCGAAGCGCCGTGCGAGGGTACTAATCCCCCCCGGCTATTTACACCCGGGGAAACGAAAGCATTAGCGAAGTCTAAAGTTCATCAATAATCGCGGACGTGGGTCACCAACGATGGGTGGTCATCCTCACTGATCTAAAAAATATGGCGGACTGTCATGAATAGCGGACACTGATTGGTCCAATTTAAAGTTTACATTATAACGACTGCATGACGTCAGCGAAATAGCAAACATTTCTTGATTTGATGATTGATAAATTTCTTGGAAATATATTTCATTTTTGCTCGCATTCTTGCAAGATTTTGTAAATTTCAAAAGCTTTCTCAGAAAGAAAGGGCGAAAGATTCGGCTAAAAGAAGGGAGCCAACGTTAACGAAGGTAAGTTTGTTTTAATATTAATTTTATAATTGCTTTAAATCCCGACGGCCTTTGCGTATACGAAACAACTAAACAAGACAGCATATAATTTCAGTGTATCTTTAATATTGATTCCCTTTATTATCAGTATATTGAATTTTTTGAATAAAAAAGAAAGCAAAGTTATTTTATACATGCGGGAATTTGACATCATTTTATTGCAAACTCAAAGTTTATCGATAAAGCCATTTAATTTATAAAGGCAGTTTAGTTTTATAAAGAACACTTTAAAACGTTTTGCGAAGCGTTTGTGGTTGAATTTTACCTTAAATTGAAGCTTATATTACGTATAATAACATATCTAACATATATATGTTGGGAAATTGATAATTTTGTAATTAAAAGTGATATTTTTAGGCAATTTTTCATTTGTAAGAATATTCTTAAAAAATTATCGTGTTACCATGACAACTACTTTAGATACTTCATGTTCGGAAAATACAATGGTTTTGTCAGCAAGGCGAGGGTTTCTGCACGCATATATTTTCTAGTTCAAGTCTTTAGCAGCAGCATATGCGAAAGTCCTTTTCATTCAATTTGTTTTAGGCTTCGATAACATCAGCATCTTATTGTTACTTCTTAAATTATATTATCCCCGAGCCAACGGCGCGTAGCGCCGTTCCGGGCGTAAGCCCGAGGCTAGGGTACTAATTCCGTCCGGCTATTTACACCCGGGGAAACGAAAGCATTAGCGAAGTCTAAAGTTCATCAATAATCGCGGGCGTGGGTCACCAACGATGGGTGGTCATCCTCACTGATCTAAAAAATATGGCGGACTGTCATGAATAGCGGACACTGATTGGTCCAATTTAAAGTTTACATTATAACGACTGCATGACGTCAGCGAAATAGCAAACATTTCTTGATTTGATGATTGATAAATTTCTTGCGAATATATTTCATTTTTACTCGCATTTTTGCAAGATTTTGTAAATTTCAAAAGCTTTCTCAGAAAGAAAGGGCGAAAGATTCGGCTAAAAGAAGGGAGCCAACGTTAACGAAGGTAAGTTTGTTTTAATATTGATTTTATAATTGCTTTAAAACCCGACGGCCTTTGCGTATATGAAACAACTAAACAAGACAGCATATAATTTCAGTGTATCTTTAATATTGATTCCCTTTTTTACTATATTGAATTTTTTAAATAAAAAATGAAAGCAAAGTTATTTGCAAGCGAGAATTTGAAATCATTTTATTGCAAACTCAAAGTTTATCGATAAAGCCATTTAATAGTTATAAAAGGCAGTTTAGTTTTATATAAAAGAACACTTTAAAACCTTTTGCGAAGCGTTTGTGGTTGAATTTTACCTTAAATTGAAGCTTATATTACGTATAATAACATACCTAACATATATATGTTGGGAAATTGATAATTTTGTAATTAAAAGTGATATTTTTAGGCAATTTTTCATTTGTAAGAATATTCTTAAAAAATTATCGTGTTACCATGACAACTACTTTAGATACTTCATGTTCGGAAAATACAATGGTTTTGTCAGCAAGGCGAGGGTTTCTGCACGCATATATTTTCTAGTTCAAGTCTTTAGCAGCAGCATATGCGAAAGTCCTTTTCATTCAATTTGTTTTAGGCTTCGATAACATCAGCATCTTATTGTTACTTCTTAAATTATATTATCCCCGAGCCAACGGCGCGTAGCGCCGTTCCGGGCGTAAGCCCGAGGCGAGGGTACTAATTCCGTCCGGCTATTTACACCCGGGGAAACGAAAGCATTAGCGAAGTCTAAAGTTCATCAATGATCCGGGCGTGGCTCACCAACGAAGTTTCGATGGGTGGTCATCCTCGCTGATCTCAAAAATTTGGCGGACTGTCATGAATAGCGAACACTGATTGGTCAAATTTAAAATTTGCATTATATCGACTGCATGACGACAGCGAAATAGCAAACATTTCTTGATTTGATGATTTATTGCAAATATATTTCATTTTTGCAAGATTTTGCGAATTTCAAAGATTTTTAAGAAAATAAAGGTGAAAGAATTGCTAAAAGAAGGGAGTAAAGGCGCCGACGTTAACGAAGGTAGGTTTGTTTTAAATATCGATGCATTGTTCGCTTTGTAACGGCTTTAAAAGCTGATCGTTGACGTTGCGTATATTTTAAATGAGAAAGACAGCATATAATTTCAGTGTTTATTGTTAACCATTTTTATTATATTAAAAGGTTTAAATAAAAAAAAGCAAAGTTGTTTGAATGCGAGAATTTGAAATCATTTTATTTCAAACTCAAAGTTTTTCGATAAAGGCAGTTTTAACAGTTTTATAAAGAACATTTTAAAACGTCTTGCGAAGCGTTTGAGGTCGAATTTTACCTTAAACTGAAGCTTATATTACGTATAATAACATACCTAACATATATACGTTTGGGGAATTGGTAATTTTGTAATTAAAATTAGTGGTATTTTTAAGAGATTTTTCATTTGTAAAAATATTCTTAACAAAATTATCGTGTTTCCATGACAACTACTTTGAATATTTCATGTTCGGAAAATACAATGGTTTTGTCAGCAAGGCGAGGGTTTTCTGCATGCATGTATTTTCTAGTCAGATATAATATGGCTCCGAATAGAAATAATAATAATGATAGTAATAATAATAATGTATCCTCCGATAGTACGGTTGGTTGCGCTTGTTTTTCATCAAACTATCGTGATGTCTCCTCCGATAGTTCGGTTTATGGCGTTTTGTTTTTGATCGACCCTTCAGTTTTTCATCAAACTATCGCGATGTACCCTCCGATAGTACGGTTTGTTGCGTTTGTTTTTCATCAATTATCGTGATGTATCCTCCGATAGTACGGTTCGTTGCGTTTGTTTTTCATCAAACTATCTGCCTCGTACCCAGGCGCTTTAAATAATTATAATACATGAAGTATTCAGGAAGGCAGGCGACGCGCGAAGGGGCTGTTGGGAAGGGTGAGTCCTGGGGAGCACCTGACAGTTCTTGTGTACTGTCATGGCGGAAAACATGGAATTTAATACAAAACGTTACCATATCGTCGTATACTCTGTGTGTAAAACGTACCTTACTTTTTGTTGAAGAGTTGAATTTAACGCCATTGTCAAATAATAACAAATTTGTAGATGTTTGATGACATGCAAAATGCGCGAAACTTACATGGTAAGTTAAGTATTTAGGGGCTGTTTAGTTAATTGTAATCTTAATTCATCAATATGTTTGGGAAGAGAGGCAATATTTAAATGAGCCATTACAAAACCTTTTAAGTCGTTAACAGTTGGAGATCGATTTTCAACTGTTATTTTATCATCATGGTTTTTAAGATCTGGAATCGCATCGTTATCAAAAATACCTAAGATGTTTGATTACACTCAAAGCAAATAATGATGTTCCTTTTTTGTTCAAATGGACACCAGACTGATTTAAACAGTCATTATTTATATCGGAATATTCTATTAATGATATATTGTCAGCAGCACAACTTTCTCTCAGCAATGTATTAATACGCTTAATTTTATCATTAAGTGTTTCATCGTTCTTATTATTAGTTCGGATATAGTTACATTGGTATTAGGCGAAATTTCACTACGAAATCTTTTAGCGCCATGATACCTTTGACAACCGTCTTTGCGCTGCTGGTCTTTAGGTCATTTGTTCCGACGTGCAGTATGATTTCGTCAGGCTTCTTTTCTAAAGTAGGCATAATATAATGCTTCATATCTTTACACTTCGCCCCGCTAAATGATTTTGATGTGACTCTATCGTTAGTTGAGCGTCCTAAGTTATGCGCTTGAATATATTTTGTCATGGAGTCACCACAGATTTCCACTTTTCGCTGATTTTGGTTTGAATTATGCATGTCTATCTGTCAATTCTTTCTCATTTTCTTGCTGATGTTGTTTTCGAGCCTCTTTCTCTGGCTTTTTGGACGCTCGGGTAGTTGATTTTGACGTTTGCTTAGGTCTATAATGAGGAGTTTTATCATCATCTTCGCTCGTGCCAATTTCAATTAATGACTGTCCGGCTTCTTCGTCGTCTTCAGAAGCTTGTTCTACTTCGACCGGTGAATACTTGTTCTGGTCTAGCACGTCTGGAATTTTTGATGTGGTTTTACTTTGTTTACTGGCGGCATTTGAAACGCGAGAGCGTGGGTGGTAGTTAGTTTTTGTGTTGCCACGCGCAACACTTTGATATTCACATTGGGAATATGATTTATTGTTTTCATCTCTATCGGAATGCAATAGACGTATTACGGTTATTAAACTTGCTCTCTCGTCTTCTAAAGTCTTTAATTTGTTATTCAGATGCAATAGTTCTTGTTCTTGGTAATCGATTTTTGATCGAAACAATTGGTTTTCTTGTTTTATGTTCTCGCTTTCGTTTTCCAAACGCTCTACATCTAAAGTAAGAGTTATTATCTTTTTGTATTTTTGATTCTATATGTAGTTTGGATGAATCAAGGCAGTGTTTGTTAAAATGCGATTTCAATGCATTAATTTCAGACTTCATCGCTTCTACTGTTTTATAAAGGAAGGGTCAACACTTGTGGTATTTAAAGCCTCACTTACTAAAACCTCTTGCTGGGAAGCTTCAGACAGCTCATTGTCCACACTTTCTGTCGTTTCGGTAATATCTAAGACACTCGCCTTAGCTTCCAATAACGACTTGTATTCCTCTGCTTTCGGGCCATTCAAGGTTATAGTTTCTTGCTGACTATACCATCGGACCTGAATGTCATCAGTTTTTAACAGCTTTGCTCCGCTTGCAGAAGTTCACTTGCCTTTGATGTTAAGATCTTTCTAGACCATTACTTGCAATTTGTGCATGTGGACACTCTCACGTTGTCATCTTGGATTTTCTAATTCATTATTATAATTTATTACACCCACTATATCTGGGTGTTGAAAGTCGTGTGACCACCCAGTGACAGGGCCTTTTCCAGCCTTCCCAATGACAAAAAGGGAAAAGTCCTGGGAACAAGGTTGACAAGTAACGTAACTATGTAACGCAACGTAATGGTAACGTAACTTGGTAACGCGACCTAAGCAGACGTATTGTAACGTCTCTGAGTTATGTGACAGGTAACGTAACCATGTAACGTAACCTAATGGTAACGCGACTTGGTAACGTGACGCTATTGTGACGTCATTGGCGGCATCCCTTTGGACTCCATATAGGGGTATCACTACAAGCGTGAGATATAGAGGACAATACACGGCGACACGAAGATAAAAGTCATATCTTCAAGGCAGCGTGTAATGTTCTGTTTATTATATAGTCTCAAGCAAAAAATTGTGAAATTTCACGCTCAAAAGCAAATTGGAAAAAGTCACGTGATCGATATCTTCACTAGTGAAGATATGGAAAATATCTCACTGTGTATTTTTCAGCATTTCACTTTCTACTATATAATAGACTATAATAGTATACCTCATATTCATATTGTCCAATAAAAAAACAGCATTTGTACTACGTGATAATGCGATTTTTTACGAATAATAAATAAAATGATTTCAAATTCTCGCATCGTCGCATGAAAATAACATTGCTTTCCTCTTTATGTAAAGTTTAAAAAAAATAAAAAAGCATCAGTAATTAAGAAAAAAATAATACTTTGAAATTGTATGCTGTCTTTTCTCATTATACGCAACGATCAGTTTTTAAAGCAATTATATAAGCAAAAAATACATCAATATTTAAAACAAACTTGTAGCAAACGTCGGTGTCTTTGCTCGCTTCGTTTAGCAAGTCTTTCGCCTTTTTTCCTGTCTTCTTGCCGGTTTTCGTTTGATTCCATAACTTCTCTCTAGTATTTTATTTGTTTAATTGTTATTTTCCAATTTTCTCAAAAGAACCAGTATAAAAATCAGATTAAAAAGCAGATATATTTTCAAATAATGTCTGTTATGATGATGTCGCAATGCAGTCATCATAAAGCGAAATTTAAATTTGACCAATCAGTGTTCGTTATTTCCATGACAGTGCGCAGTTATTTTTGAGATCAGTGGGAGGTCCACCCTTGGATCATAGCCAGACGCCCGCGATGTATGATGAACTTCACACTTCGCTAATGCTTTCCTTTTCCTGGGTGTAAATAGCCGAGCGGAATCAGTAGATTCAGTACCCTCGCCTTGGGCTTACGCCCGGAACGGCGCTCCGCGCCTGGCATGGGGATCATTATATTTCTGATCATTATCCGCGCCTTGGCATAGGGATCATTATATTTCTGCCACCATAGGTTGGAAATATTATCAAGGCAATTACTCAATTTCTTAATAATAGGCGCTAACCCCAGGCTTCACAGATATTCATTTATCCCCATATCAGTGACTGCCTACCTGCACCGATACCAATGAAAACGCGGCAAATAATAAACACCACAAAGGCTTTTGGGAAGACCATAATCCAAGTCGCCACGATGGCAAGAGCACAACCACCATACCAAATAATTCTTCTGCCAAACGTATCTGATATATAACCGCCAACCAATAAGGCAACCAACATTCCAACCCAGGAACACGATTGAGCGATAGATAGAAGAATGGAGTCATCACAAACTAAGTCGTACTGAAACAAAAATGACATGTGTAGCTAATTCCAAGTTAGGCAGTGGCGATGAAATAATTTAACTTGTCTCATTGATGTTCTTCTATAACCTCGCCGTCATGGGAAACTAGTGGCCCGGAAACATTGTATCCTAACCAAGTTTCTCGAAACAAGGTGATCAGCTATAATAGCAAAAGTTGATCAACTAATAAAAGTTTTATTCGGTGAAGATATGTGAAAGTTAGAGAGAAGTTCAAATTTTCATACATGTCCAATACTAACGCAAATGTCCAATGGACATATGAAATGTCCATTGGACATATGACTGTCCATTGGATCCAATGGACAACTCGAATGTCCATTGGATATGTGCATGTCCAATGGACATATCGAATGTCCATTGGGGATCCAATGGATCCGGACTTTGTAACCACAGGGAAAGGGCATCGTGGAGATATTGAACGAGTATAATGTCCAATGGTCCATTGGATCCAATGGACATTTGAAATGTCCAATGGACATATGAAATGTCCATTGGACATTTGCCGACCAAGGAATACATACATGTCCATCAATTGAATATAAACGCGCCTCGCGTTTTATATCTGATAAAACACTCCTACTCGTGTTTTAAATAGTACATAATATGTTGTTGCTTCGTTCTTAAGAAACGACGCAATATATCAATATATTATGTTGCTTTGTTCCTAAGAAACCACGCCATATATCAATATAATATGTTGTTGCTTCTTTCGTAAGAAACGACGCAATATATCAATATATATATATATATATTATGTTGCTTTGTATTATGTTGCTTTGTTCCAGTAAGAAAGCACGCCATATATCAATAGAATATGATGTTGCTTCGTTCTTAAGAAACGACGCAATATATCAATATATTATTTTCCCTTGTCACCTCATTACTTATCGAGTTAAGGCTATTTTCCACTCAGGAAGATTATCCATGGATTGGAACGGTCAAGAAAATTTCTCTTTGTATTAAAAGTCATTAGTTCCAACCCAGAGCTCACAATACAAAGAAAAATTTTCTTGTCCGTTCCAATCCACGGATAATTTCCCTGAGTGGAAACTAGCCTTTACCTGATTGGGGATTACTGATTGAGTCTACCTGCAAAAAATCAACTAATAAACTGTATACTGAAGTCATTCGGTCACACTACAGTTAGACTAACTAAAATTAAGAGAACATCGGTATCTTCTCTTCGAATCTTGCCACGAGAAATATTTGAGTATATGAGTATAACTATTCACTACGGTCGATCGAGCTATAAGTTTGAAATACCGGCCGCTTTAAGTCTTTAACACGATGCACAAAAGACATGCATGTATCGACATTCAATTTTTTCAGGCTTTAGTCCCGTTCAGACACAACCGAGTATTTTGCATAAGCATGCAAATTCAAAAACGGAAACCCGCAGGAATCAGAAATTTTGCTTATGGTTACGCCTGGATAATGATGTTATTTTATAAAATAACATGTATATAACGCGTGCTTTGATTGGTCGAAACCCGTGTTTGGATCAGGCCATCCAAACACGGAAATTTAAAGTGAAAGTTTTTTAATGTGAAATTTTAACGCGGAAAGTTGTTATTTTATAAAACAGTTACTTTATATGCTTTCCGTGTCCATCCAAACACGGAAACCATGAAGTAATTGTACAATCATGAGGCCATAATTAAGTCCGCTTTCGTCTTTAGATGCAGGTCAACTATTTGCTTCCTTCTAATATCATATGAAATGTCCATGGCATTCACATATGCCAAATTCTATACAGTTAAGGAGTTGATTACATGGCGAGTTTTCAGCCCGGGCTGAGTTTCAGCCCGGTTAAATGAGCTGAAATAGCCCGGACTGAGTTTAGGCGGTCAATTATATATTTAGGCGGTCAATTATATATTTGTCGAAATTCTTTATTGCGGCCAAGAACTAAAAGTTTGAGGAAAGCGTAATAATAATAATGTGCTAGTGCAGTCATGCCAGACACATCATCACACATGTGTATCTGTTGAGGACAACGTTAATGCCTAATGGCTTAATTAGCTTTAAGCTAAGGACACGAAGCGATTTTTAGAGATAGGAATTTCTAAAATATTACAAGTTATTTAGATGTATAAAATTCAGTCACATAGTATAAAATTAGTCAGAATAACAACTGCACATCATGCGTTGGCGCATATGTTAATATGCACACGTCTCAACTAGGGAGTACTAACATTATAGGGTAAAAGTAGACTTTTAAGTGGAAACGTTTGTTCGAAAAACAAAATCAAATGAGTGGTTATTTCGTAAAAAAACTTTTTCTATGCATTTTACTTACATATACACAATATAGATAATCGCTCATATGGTTGGGATGCATTACAGAAGCATTCCGTAAAAACGGATGTAGACTGCATGCTTCTTGGCTCACAAAAACATTCGCATGCACACAGAAAATCACATTTGAATGACTAACATCTCTAACATCTCACATTTGAATGACTAACTCTCTGGATGACTCACAAAAACATTCCTCAAACACGCAAAAAAAAACCCAAAGGTTACATGCAGCAGCTACATAAAATCCGTCAGTGTTGTAAGCAATTCTCTTGGCCTAATTCTCGTCAGTATTGCAATTCAGTGGAGAATTTTGTTTTGGCACAAAAAATATACGCAAACTATCTATAAATGTTGAGAAAAATTTCTAGAAATTTGGTTTTAGTAGAAGCTTTGCGATTTCCGACCCAAAAGATAAATCCAAATGGATCCAATGGACCATTGGACATACTCCCTTTGCCATCTCACAGGCCTGCTACCTGCATGGCGTCGATGCCAACCTATGACGTCATTTAAGTGAACTTATTTACTGTACAATCAAATGTCCAGTGGACATATTCCTGTCCATTGGATCCAATGGAAAAATCAAATGTCCACTGGACATATGCCTGTCCATTGGATCCAATGGACAAAATCAAATGTCCACTGGACATATCTATGTCCATTGGATCCAATGGACAACTCAAATGTCCATTGGACCTATGCATGTCCAATGGATCCATTGGATCCAATGGACCATTGGACATTCTCCCTTTGCCATCTCACAGGCCTGCTACCAGCATGGGGTCGATGCCAACACATGACGTCATTCGAGATAACTTACTTAATGCACAACCAAATGTCTAGTGGACTTATGCCTGTCCATTGGATCCATTAGACAAATCAAATGTCCACTGGACATTTCAATATGTCCATTGGACATCTTGCAGAGGTATTGGACATTAATCCAAATTTTACACATTCCTTACCTCAGTAACAGTTGATGTAAAGTCATCTACAAACGTCCAAGCTTCTCTCGGTATTTTACATCTTTCTTTGTAATCATCACTGGTTAATGTTATTGATTTATTAAATCTACATACGGTATTATTCATATATCCATCAACGCATTTCCAGTCTGGTTCTGCTGTGATAAACGTCACTACCATGACAGGGAATGCAGAAACTGATAATAACGTATAACCAAAAATGGCAAATTGGTACCATTGAAATTGACGAAATTCACCAATCTTTATGAAAACGTCATCAATCGTAGAAGCCATTGTGCATTAATTGAATAAATGTGGCCTAAAATTGCCTGAAAATTAGAAAAAAATGATGTAATTTCACACTAAAGCTCCTAAGCAGTCATGCGTTTTCGACTGTATATTTGATCTTACATTTTTATCTCTACCGTCTAAAACCAAATGCTGCACATTTTAGTCCTAGGTTTCAGTAATAAACAGATAATAAGTAAATATATATATATATATTTACGTGAATAAATGTTTTAAACGAAGTAACTCAAGCTTGTCTTTTATATATATATATATATATATATATATATATATATATATATATATATATATATATATATATATATATATATATATATATATATATATGAATTTAAATAAATATAAATAAATAAATGTATAAGTACCATGCATAAGTTGCATAACTTAAGATTGTATACCCGACATGATTTTGAGAATCTAACAAAATATAGTAGTTCGGGTTTAAACGGGCCTTATGGGCACATGCGTGGACAATGTAGAACAGGCATTAAAATACGGAACTTTTACAAGGACACACTTTGCCTTCAGAGGCGTATTTTTTATATAAATGCATCCGCAGACTCACAAGAACGAGTGGCGAGTTAGCCACAAGTTTAGTGTCGAAGACGCGAGCTTTTAAGGGGGTCTCTGAAATGGCATTTCCAGAGTTCTGAGAACAGAATTTGCAAAATCTTTGGCCATTTTGCGTGGATTACATTAATATATTTTCAGTTTAATATATTTTCAAGTACACACTTTTCAATTTCAAAGGGCACATTCGCCTTTTACAAGGACACAAAGTGTGTACAAGGACACGCTATTTTAATGCCTGATGTAGAAGCATGTTTGTAAAATTTGTAAAATTGTGTTAATTTATGCAAGCACAGCGGTGTCCCAGCAATATTATTTAGTTCCAAGTCAGTACGATTTGGTATTCGTTTAAACCCCATTTATCTATTCTGAGTATTCTCCCTATTGATTTTTGGTTTATATCATGGGCGAGAGACGGCCAAAACAACCCGGTTGGCCTTTTTGGCCTCTTTGTCCTTTTTGGATTGCTGAACATTCTCAATAAGGGACACTCTTAAATAAAAGAACTATAAAGTTAATCTATTTACGTTACAAAGTTGTATTCTCAAAGTTTAATAAAATTTTTTGTTAAAAAAATCTCTGTATGCATCTGATTAACTCCGCACGCAACGTACGCAAAATGACGTCGTATATGTCTCACGGCCACGTACGCAAAGTAACGATTATGACCAGGCCTATGCCTCACGCGCACGTACGCAAAATGACGTCCTATGCATGCCTCACGCGCACGTACGCAAAAACCTGCTGTCATATGGCGTCAATTTAGGTGAGTTTATAGTCTGGTACTTATAGCTAGTCTACGTTTACACGGACCGGATAGCTTTCCGTGGGAGTATCTAATTGGAGCGGGGAGCGGGTAAGAGGAGCAGGTCGCGGGTAAAAGGAGCGGGTAATTAAAAAAGGAGCGGGTAAAAGGAGCGGGTAATTAAAAAAAGGAGCGGGTAAAAGGAGCGGGTAATTAAAAAAAGAGCGGGTAATTTCTAAGCGCCGGTGGGGAATTTTAAAGAAAAAAAAGACAATTTATAAAAGTGTAATAACATGAGACCATTTTTACTAAGTGAAACCATTGACTTCACTTAAAAAATCTCGGAAATTCTATCAAATGTTAACAGCCTGAACATGTCTTATGATGACGTGCTGAAAATACGTACACACTAGCGCAACGTTTTTGGGTCACCAAATGGACAAAAATTATTATAACATGCACAAGTGCTACTCAGAACTCTACAGCCTGTCTCGGCTATTGCCTCACCAAACTGTGGTCATGCATCACTAACTAAACAAAATAACACTAACTATAGAGCAAAGGAAACTATAAACCATTACCTATAAATTTATCCGAATTTCAAGCCGTTTTTAGCCAGCCGGTTTTTTATACGTACATGCCTTACGTACATGGCGGCCATCATGAGTGGCTTCAAAGATGGCGGCTAAGTTATCTTTCCAGTTCCCTTAAGCCCCGTTTACACTACGCTCAATTTTTGGTACGGCACGGATAAAATTGGTACCCGTACCACTTTTTTGCTTCTTGGACTACCTATTTAAGCCCCGTTTACACTACGCTCAATTGTTGGTACCGTACCACTTTTTTGATTCTTAAAAGAACCACCGTACCAATACGGGTACCAATTTTATCCGTGCCGTACCAAAAATTGAGCGTAGTGTAAACGGGGCTTTAGAGTTCACTTGTTTAAACTGAACGTGAGCGCCTTATTAATAAAACACCCTGAGTTTGGAAACTTTTGCTCTATTGTACGTGTAGTCTAAAAATGTGTATACTGTATATGCTACACCACTATCAGTTTCTGAATAAATTCAATGGTGTTCTGCAAACCTAAACCCTAACCGTGCAAACCGTGTTCAATATGTTCATAGTTTTCTGATCCTTATAAAATTAATAAGTCTTTAAGAGGCGAATCTCTCAGGTTTTCAATTTCTTCGCGCGTCACCGAGCTGTCCACTGTTATTCGCGCCTTATTAATAAAACACCCTCAGTTTGGAAACTTTTGCTCTATTGTACGTGTAGTCTAAAAATGTGTATACTGTATATGCTACACCACTATCAGTTTCTGAATAAATTCAATGGTGTTCTGCAAACCTAAACCCTAACCGTGCAAACCGTGTTCAATATGTTCATAGTTTTCTGATCCTTATAAAATTAATAAGTCTTTAAGAGGCGAATCTCTCAGGTTTTCAATTTCTTCGCGCGTCACCGAGCTGTCCACTGTTATTCCAGATGGCGGTGTCAAATTGATCCATGGAGGGATGTGTCTTACACAGTTCGCAGAAGGACAAAAATAAAACGTTGTTTCCACCACAAAATTCTGCTCGTATGGCACATATAACCCGACGACTGAAACGCATAAATCACCATCATGCTGTTCTTTCCTACAGCAACGGCAACGGGGAATTGTTCCTCTTTGCATCTCCTTTCTCTTCAAAACCCATACTCTTGGTTGACAATTTCTTCGGTCGTTCAGCAAAAGACTCGCCACAATGTCTTGTCTACTTTGATTCCTTGCACCAGGAACATATTTCAATCCGTTTGGCACCGGTGGTATATTCCCGAAAATTTCAGAACATTCTGCATCTGTTAAAAAAACCTGCTGTAAAAGTTCACTTTCTTCAGGCATTCGACAAACATACAGAAGAATCGAAATGATATGCTTGCACAATTCTTTGCCCTCATTTTTGGAAAAGTCCATGCATTGGCAGGAGTGCTTTTTGCCAATGCTTACCTTGTAAGTTGCAAATGAATTTGTCACTAAAGTGTAACTCCTCTCAAAATCTTTTTCAGTCACTGTGACTGGGTCTTTTACTTTTATAGTATCCTTTTCCTCTTTTGCGTTTCGTAGCCTATTCAGGAATGTTTTGCTGCGTGTTGGCCTATATCGTCCATTTCTTTCTCCATCTGATCGCCGAGGTCCACGTTGAACACTCCCATTGTGCCTGTCGTGAGGATTTGAAGACGCTGAATGCTCAGAGACTCGAATCCTGTCAGTATCCGCGATATCTTCCCTAATCAGCTCAAGGCCAAGATTACGGGCTCTATTCATCTGGATTGCATTATCTCTCATTGTTTGAGTTTGGATTGACGGACCCTTCCCACCTTTTCCTGAACCATTCTGAAATGCTTTGTAATCTACTTCAAGCAGAACATTATCCCGCACGTCTGCCTGTGCCGCATCTAAAAGGGAAAGGTTCATTCGGTCTCGCTTAACCCAGCTTGTATGAATGGCCTCGGCCTGATTCATTTTAGAGCCGCCACGGACATGTAAGTATGCTGGGGAAATAAGGTTTCTCCTTTTGTCCCACCAATCGAACCATGATTGAAGGAAACTCAGTTTGTCATCACTTCTAATAAAATTTTCAATGTTTTCTTTCGCTGCTTCATATCCCCCTGGACTTTCAGCTTCAATCAGCGCATTACACATTCTCTTGAATTGGTCTTTTGCATGTTCGTCCAATTTTCGGGCCTGTCTGTTTCTACAGTCTTTAAAATGAAATTCACATGTTTTAATGCGATCCACGGCAGATGTACCAAACACAGTTTTTATACCTTCCATGTTGGCTCCCGCCATGTCGGTAATCCACCCACGTGGATTAAAAACGTAACTATCATTACCGCTTTCTTTCTTTAGCACGTCATTGAAAGTGTTCCAAAACAAGGAAATCGTCGAGGTGTTTTCCCCATTACACTCCATAGTTGCCAAGGGAACAAGCTTCCTCATCAGGGGGTGGTACACACTGGCAGTAAGGGACACAAATCCCTTACATCTTTTTACTTTCCCATCAAAGTAACAGAATTCGTTATTTAATATGTGCTCGCCTGATTGGTCCATATTTAACGCGAACTTTGCTTTGAGTTTGCTAGTCTTGAAGACAAATGATTTCCTATCATTTTCTTTCCACCATAGCTTAATTTATAGAGATAGTAGGGATCACGGACATCCGTATATTGCTTGTAATGGGCCACAGCTTCAAAATCATTACCAAGTGGTTCGTTGCTTTTTTCATTTTCTGTTTTTCGGTGGAAATCCATTTTTTGTCAGAAAGAGAAATAGCAGCTTGTTCGACTTCTAACCAATCACGACATTCCCTCATTTTTGATAATATGAGACTACTTTGTATTTGCGCAGGAGTAGCATCTGGGTTTTCGGCAACCTTGCGTTGGACATCTTCGGTTGCACGATTACCACCTGGTATGTACGGACATGTGTGCTCTCCATAATGGTATACGAACAACTTCCTCGACTGTTTTACAATATACTTTCGAGCCAAACAGGATATATATATGTTCCCTCCATTCCACATACGTTACAAGAATTACTTTTCCCGTCAAAATGAGTCCTGTTCGTAACACCATATTCTTTCCTAAAATCACATTGTTCATTTTGACATTGAAGCGACCCCCAGCAATCACGATAACGAACACTTTCATAGCCATTCCATTGGGATTGTGAGGCTTTTTTCCAACGTCTCCCATCTTTTATATTAGCTTTATCATTGGCTAATTCATAACGCTTTAAACCATCAATTCCCGCTGGCACTTGATCAACTTTTTCAACTTTTATGCCACTCCATGACAATGGTCCAATTTTTCTTTGTTTGCGGCATTCGTTGTCATCATCGCTCGAGCTACTTGAATTATCAAGTCTGCCCCTGCAATGAAAAGTAACAAGCATGTAATTTAGAGCATTGCTTTGGAAGCATTATTTTTATACCTGTTTTTCGGTGCGTCCGAAACGCTCCCGTGCTTCAACTACAGAAAATCAGAAATACTGCGAGACACCGTTGCATTGAAATCACATTGCAATGCGTTGCAACGAAACTTTAAGACAAGTTGCAATAAATTATGTACACTATGTCGTAAATTACCTTCGTTTCGATTTTTTGGAAGCAGGCCGATTTTGTTTCCGAAGAATTTGGTCAACTGAGGAATCGTCACTACTTGATTCGGTTGAAGAAGCCCTACAGTATGAAAATAACATTACACCCCACCCTAAAAGCATTTTTTAAAGTTCGATCAAACAAATTTCACACCAACAATTTAGGGACCGATTACATGGAGCATTTTCAACCCCGGGGTTGAACTCAGCCCTGTTTACCGGGTTGAAATTTCAGCCCTGTCTGTAATACAAAACTTTATAAAAATCAAACGCGCGATTACATGACAAAATTTTCAACCCAGGGCTGAGTTCAACCCCGGGGTTAACACCGGGGTTAACCCCGGGGTTTAACTCAGCCCTGGGTTGAAAATTTTGTCATGTAATCGTTTCAACCCAGGGCTGAAATTATCATGACTTATTCGAGCATACGTGGTAGTGACTATTCATTACAAGAAAACAAAATAAAGGCTTTTTTACTTCCGGGAATCGATGCCGAGAACCTATACTGTAGTATAGCGCTTCAACCCCGGGGTTGAAATCGTCCATGTAATCGCAAAAAATTTCAACCCGGTTAACAGGGCTGAGTTCAACCCCGGGCTTGAAAGTTCTCCATGTAATCGGCCCCTTAAGCTACTACTACAAATCAGCTTCCAGGCCACTGAAATACTGTAAAATTCATGAAATAGGTTGCATTAACAAAATCAAAAAAGTCATCGCCAGCATGAATGCCATTTATTTCATTGCCAATCAATATACCAGTAGTGTAGCGGCTTGCAAGAAAATAATGTAATATATAAAATTACAAAGAATGTAAGCAAACCTTTCTGACGAACTAAAATCGATATTTGAATATGTCGGACTAGGACACCGAGTTTTTTCTAGCTAAAAATAAAAAATAAAATATAGGGTAAGTGATTTTTGTTAAAATTACAACAGTGATTTAATATTTTTATAATTAATAAATGTGTACAGTCTTGTTCTAAATAATCCCAATTAATCCATATTGTTCATACAAAATTTATCTTGGATAGGCCGTGGATAACAAACTAATACATGCAAGACTACAATACCTTTAACTTGTTTTGTTTAAATCCACTTTGCCCAGATTTCTCATCATCTGATATTGTTATAACATCTTTCAACTCAACACTTGCCTGCATCTACAGCAGTTATTAATACACGTTTTTAGGCTTTGGTGTTCGACTAACTGTCACATGTAAGCTGTTAGAATGACATCAAACATTTGATATATGTAAGTGTCATAATAGACCTTATGCATAATGAACTCACAAGGTGTGATGCGCGCGGGGAATTCTGGTCTTAGTAGTCACGGCGGGAAAACAATCCAACTTGGCCAACGTCGTAGGTGAGTGTGCTGCTGTTCTTTGTCGTCTTTTAGAGGCTGTTCGAGTCAATGAAGACCGTAGTTCCTTTCAGAATTCTTGCACGGGTCTTCAAGAGGTTTGGCAGCCCTGAAAGTAACGGCAACAGTCCGCTTTGATCGACCAGTACTAGTAAAAGAAGTGCTGGTTTTACGTGTTGTATTTCTGGTTGTTTTACCAACAATAAAATAAATTCCAAGCCTTCTTTTTTTAATTTTCCAAGTGGTAGAAGTGTGGGATCAAAATAGGTGGATAAATAAGTGGATATTAAATGTAATTGCTTGCAAAGATGTCTTACCAACAACAGGCCATAGAGTGTGTTCAATGCATTTTCCAGGATGATGTAAAACATACATGAACCACCTGCCATATTTGAATGTTGCAAGCCTACACCAACGAATTATGAACTAACAATAAAGGCACAGAATATAACTCCTTTGTGTTTTACAGAATATAGTTCTGTATTTCTTTTATTACAACCAGGAACACAACACGAATAAAAACCGCCACTTCCTTTACTCGTACTGGTCGATCAAAGCGGACTGTTGCCGTTACTTTCAAACCTCTGAAGACCCGTGCAAGAGTTCGGAAAAGAACTAGGGTCTTCATTGACTTGAACAGCTTCTAAAAGACGACAAAGAACAGCAGCAAACTCACCTACGGCAGTGGTCATGCTGGACTGTTTTCCCGCCGTGACTACTAAGACCAGAATTCGCCGCGCGCATCACGTCTTGTGACGTCATTATGCATAAGAAAAAACAAAAGAGTGTTTACCGGTGGTTCGAAAAATTAACATTCCAATTAAAGTGTACAGTGTATGGTAACATGCACTTCACCAGTGTTTCATTGGGGTTAGAGTGTATATTTGATGTTTAACTTATACCTGGGTGTCAGGATTTCTCATGCCAGACAGGTCATACTTAATCCCTCGAAATACACTAACTCCAGGGTTATAACAATCATTTTCCTCTGGCCAATCTTCAACTGTCATCGTCATTGCCTTTTTTCTACTTATTTGAACAGTAACCTAAAAAATATAAGTTGTTGTTGCCTTTGAAGCCATGTTATACAGTATGCAGCCTTCTGCAAACCGGCGGTCCGCTTGTGTACTTGCCTTTTCAGTTTTAAAGCTGCCCTTTTTAGGAGACTCTGAATCGGAAGACACCAAAATCGGCTCATCCAGTTTTTGTTGGATATCTTCTTTTGCCTACATATAAGATTGAAAATATGGTAATTACTCTTTTATATATAGTATTTTATGAATTACTAATACTATAAATCAAGCGGGGGCGGCGCTCAAACGAGTAAATACGGTTATACCAGTATTACAAACAGCAAAAGCAGCACGTTAAACAGAAGCAAGACGAAATACTGTACTAATAGTAAAAAAAGATTAACCCATTAAGCAGCGTAATAGTAAAAAAAAATTAACCCATTAAGCAGCAATGCGCCAATTGCACCCATGCTGTTCTTTTACTGTATTCTGTCTAACGCCATTTTACTCTTCAAGGGAAGAGTCTTAATAGGAGTATCTGAAACAAAATATACCCTATAATAACTGTTTACAGTATATGTACTGTAAATTTAAGTCATATTTTTCTTTCCTTTTACTTACAATCTCCAATTTTCCAGATAAAAGCATATAATGATCCCCAGTGTATCCCAAATAAATTTTAGTTTCAGGTTGCATATTAGCAGGACTGGTGATAGCAATTTTCTAAATAAAACATATCTGATTTACTTGTTGAATCAATGTGGTGCTTTGCAAATTTTTAGTGTTTTGTCATATGTGTTGCTTATTTGAGGGCAGCACTCTTTCACAGAACTTGTGCATTGCCAGCAGAAAAACTATTTGAGATGGAGGCAAAGGGGAAGCAACTAAAAATGCCTGGCACTATATGCATAACAATCGACCTACCCCTTGCCAATCCAATATTGATATTTCCAAATGAAACAAGTATGCAGAGGCAGTAATTACTGCATGTGTTGTCATCTCATTGCGTAATGCTCTAACTGCATCGTGCCATGATTCAGGGCGCTTATGCCCATTGGAAGGATAATCGGCATCAGACAAGAAATTATGCAAATTTGCTTCCACAATCTCTCCATCCTGTTTGAAAGCAAGAAGAAACAGTAATAGACCTTTTTGCAAGGCAGCAAGCACTCGAGGGACGCCGTTTACGCAGCAGGGTTTAACTTAATGGTGTGCAATGTGCATTTGGCCGTTTTAGCCGGAATAGTACAAAAATTGCACGCCAACTTTTCCACATGAGGTGCAAAAAATTAAAAAATGCATAATTATAGTAAATATACACAAACTGTATTTCTAAGAAATAAATTTCGGTAAAAAGCACCATTTTGTTGTATCTGGTGCTTCCACTTTTCAGAATAAAAATTTTTGCACTCATCAATTTTTCGCCACAAATTGAAACCCTGTTGCCTAGCCAATAGACCATTCCAGTAGTTACATCACAACTACACTGTTTTCAGCAAGGCTGCACAGAGAAGAAGAACATCCTTCAATACATGCATGAAAAGGATTTTTTATTTTGACCAATAAATGTGGTCTCTAAATAATTGCCTCGAGCCTCGTTTTCATGTTAAAGCCTATTGAAAGCTTTTATTTTATTAAAGCCTAGGGACTCATACAGCTCTTCCAGGGACCTGATGCAGTAGGCAACATGTCGGATAGCCTGCAAACAGGCATTTATTCAGGTGGGCCTAGTATAATTTACACTTGCCGGCAATTGCTTTAAATTTTGTGAGACTTCGTTCGCCCACGGACAATGCTTTCTGGACTTTCTGATTGGAGAATTATGATCACACGGGTACATGCTTGACATGAAGTATGAGGTCTGTGTTTATTACCGATGTCAGCAAAAATTTGTTGATGTCGATTTATAATGGTAATTGAACTGAGTGGAGCGCAATTTGGAAATCACACGTGTGATTAAAAAATCACAGATTTGTAATAACAAGTTCGATTTCAGTCCAAAATTGCACGACACGAAGTTCAATTTCCACTTTATTATATTTATTTTGAAATCTTAAACATCTTTGTATTAAAACCGGAAACGTTTTTGTTTGGAAAAGACACACCTCCGGTACCTCCCTGAGTGCTGTAGCATAGCAACAATAAGCAAACAAGATGATTAAATTATATGTTTATATACTGTACGTTCCTAATACTGCAAAATTGTTAAAGAAATGAAGACATTTATAAAGAATAAGAGACAACACAAGTAAGTTTAAACATATTGTAGGTTTTACGAGTGATTTGAAAGAGTTTTGGTGCAGTTTTGTCAGTAGAAAACTGGAAATACGATAGGTGAATTTACCTTTGACACTTTGTTTTCTCCCATGCTTTAAATTTAATTGCTTTTGTTGGCGATTTGATTGCTTTTGATTATGTTCTTAATTTGCTTGTTACAATTTGTAAAATTTGAAAATTCTTTCCAATTCTTTGATAGTTTACTGTAGCTATGTATCCATATTTGTGTTTTTTTTTGTGCAAGGGTGAGGTCACTAATTTGGACAATGCCGGACAAGGGGGGTCTGAAAATCCATCATTTGGCTGGACATCCTTTGTGAATGGCCCCTTGTTGAATCAATGTGGTGCTTTGTAAATTTTTAGTGTTTTGTCATATGTGTTGCTTAATTGAGGGCAGCACTCTTTCACAGAACTTGTGCATTGCCAGCAGAAAAAGTATTTGAGATGGAGGCAAAGGGGTAGAAACTAAAAATACCTGGCACTGGGGGGTGGTGGCATACTCTGAGTACGGGATTGTCTCGTGCGTTGTTGTTGCGTTGGAGATTTCTGGACAAGAAATAAACACTTAATAAGCCATTTTATATATCATTAATATCGATTTATACTTATATGTTAAAAGTTCACATTATGTTATTTTGAAACGTTCATTATATTTGTAATACTTTTAAATTATGCCGCCGAAAGTATTCTTGTCATTTCCCTATCACCTGATGTATGATGAGTTTGACTAATGGTCGCGGGTCGCGTGTCGCGGGTAAAAAGTCGCGGGTCGCGGGTAAAACGTCGCGCAGGTAAGAAGTCGCGGGTCGTAAAAAAGCTCTAAACCGTGTATTTTATTGAGTCGCGGGTTGAATAAAGTGTGTAAAAATCACATTAACATTTAGTTAATATTTAATGGTTTTTATCAATAGTAGTTCGAAGATGTTATGGCTGCAATTGCGAGTTTCTAGATAAATATAGACAAGAATCATATAACATTATTGTAAAGCACGTTGATAGACGGTAGTGCAAAAGAATCCTGTTTCACATTCCTATGTTTATAGTCCTGATTTTAGTAATACATATTACCATCCAATTTCTACCATATCATACAGGCGCAAAAATCCGCTATTCAGTGGCTCAGTGCGCGTTGTCGTCAAGCCTCTGCGCATCGATCAGTACTTTCCAGAAACAAGTGCTAGAGAACAGCGACTTAAATATCCGGGTTGTTGGTGAATCATAATGTACTTTTATAATGTCCTAGCATGGCTATATCTATTATTTGTGACCCTATATGGTTGTTTTTAAATTGGTATAAAACTGATTGTAATAGTAGTGGTAAACTGAATTTATTTGCATGGATATATCTATTATTTGTGATACTATATGGTTGTTTTTAAATTGGTATAAAACTGATTGTAATAGTAGTGGTAAACTGAATTGTTGGTTTAACATTCTTTCAAGTTTTAGGCTTCTGGCACGTTTATATAGAACCATTAAATCATGACAAAAGGCTCTTGGGCAATATTTCGTATTGAAGCAATCCTATATGGTTGTTTACAAAATGATAATGTGATTTTTACACACTTTATTCAACCCGCGACTCAATAAAATACACGGTTTGGAGCTTTTTTACGACCCGCGACTTTTTACCCGCGACATTTCACCCGCGACATTCTACCCGCGACAGGCGACCATTAGTCAAACTCGTGACAAAAGGCTCTTGGGCAATATTTCGTATTGAAGCAATCCTATATAGTTGTTTACTAAATGATAACGTGATTTTTACACACTTTATTTAACCCGCAACTCAATAAAATACACGGTTTGGAGCTTTTTTACGACCCGCGACTTTTTACCCGCGACATTTTACCCGCGACCCGCGACAATCTACCCGCGACACGCGACTTTTTACCCGCGACACGCGACCATTAGTCAAACTCATGTATGATACAGTAAGAGTGCACCAGAAACCAAATACTGTACTTCATGAATACAATTTTATCCCGGGGTGGGTTGGGAATTTTTCCCAGGAATTTTGTCCCGAGGGAGTGGCATTTGACATTTTTGTATGTTAAAATGTCAAATCCCCACCCTTTGCCCAACCACTGCCACCCCCACCCTCGGGGTTAACATTGATAAGTGCATTAAAATTGATTGGCTGTCTCAATTACTCCTATGATTAATTAAATATGATTGATTGGCTGAAGTCAGCACTCTAATGTGATTGATTGAAAGAAGGTCGGATTTCAGCATGAATGACACTGCTAGGAGTGCGATTCGTGCTGAAATCGCACTCCTCAGTGAACCAATCAGATTGCAGGAAACACCATTTCAAAATGAATATAATAAATAGATCTATGAATATAGTCAAGCACCCTTGCAAAGTGAAATAGCTTCTGCCAGCAGAGTGAGAGTCAAGTTAATTTTTGGGCCAATTTAATTAGTGGGGCAAATATTTTGGATGTACAGTACTACATGTCAGATTTAATTAGTTAAGCAGCTAGTTCACCTGAAGAATGCTATCAATGTGTTAAAAATCCATTAAACCTCAGTGAGGTTATTGTAGATTTCCATAGACTAAAGTGGATGATTTTATTTACGGTCTGTCTGTAAAATAGTCTTAAAATGATTTTTTATATATGTATATATTTACTATTATTTTCTACTGTATGCAATTTATATACCATTAAATTAAGCATTAAATAGAATGCAAATATATGTTGTTTTATATACTGTCTGTTGAAGTGAGCTGATACAGACAGTTGAGTTGTGAAAGCATATATGAACATTCAAAACTATGTTTTTGTTTGTTAGATACTGTATAGTTATTAATATTTAACGTACCACTAATATGTTTCTGTTTATGGCAACAATATACATTTTGCTTTTAATAATATGATAGTATGTAGTGTTTGCATGAAATTATTAGTCTGTAGACAATTCTGTGAACCGGCAGTTGTTTATTTCTCTTGGGGTCTCATACAAATGCCTGTTCGCAGGCTACATGTCGGAAACTTCCACAGCCCTGCAAGCAATATACAATAGCCCAGCTAGTCGCACAGCCCTGCAAGGGAGCCAAGATAGGTACATTGCTCTGCAAGTCCCACAGCCCTGTAACCTAGACCAGTCAGCTACATGGCCGTGCGTGGATTTCCTATCCCCAGGTGTAAATAGCTTGCGGGAATTAGGCAAAGGCCTTAATATCAAGACAAGGCATGGGCAAGGGGAATATATACAAGGAATATATACCAATTCCTGGGCAAATTATCAATAATGTATTCATGTCACCATGTAATTTATCTATTGAAAGTATAAGAATAACTAACTGTAAAATTAGTTGAGCTCTGTATACTGTATATATACTATGAAACCAAGCATTTTATGAACACATTTAATATCTACATTTAATAGGTCCACAGATTGTAGGAAATAAACAAAAACAACCAGATATATTTAATAATAAACCTACCTCGCTCTCGACAGGAATAATTTGGTTTTGAAGCATAAATGATTCCAACATATTGACCAGATCATTTTCGCCCAAATTCAAAAATTTACTCAAACATCGATAGTAGCAGCGATTTGAACTTCCAGGAGGATCGTACCAAAGACTCAATCCCCGTTTCGAGGCTTCAAACAAACATGAAATTCTTCTGTTGAACATCTGTTGAATTATTTATAGCATGGTTCAAATGCATTCAAATATTTAAATATATTTAAATGACTCTATTGGCAATTGTTGAAATAGTTGAATAAAAACATGGAACATACCTTTAGAATAAAAAGAACTAATTCTTTCAAATAAAGAGGTTAGGATTGATGAATGATTTGAACGGATTGTTCTCAGTAAATCTCGAGCGTCGTCCAAGAGAAAGCAAACAGGCTCAAGTGATTGCCGGCGCTTAGCACCCGAAAGAAATTACCCGCTCTTTTTTTAATTACCCGCTCCTTTTACCCGCTCCTTTTTTTAATTACCCGCTCCTTTTACCCGCTCCTTTTTTAATTACCCGCTCCTTTTACCCTCGACCCGCTCCTCTTACCCGCGACCCGCTCCAATTAGATACTCCCGCTTTCCGTAGCGACATGAAAAACATTGCAACGGAGAGATGTTGTTTCGGTCAGCTTTTGAAAGTTGTACATTCCGTATCGGATAGGTGCTTTTTTTACGCCGCTACGGAAAGCTATCCGGTATAGTGTATAGCTACGTAACCTAAGGTCTGTTTTATACGTCGAATTTCGGTCGCGTCGAATGCAACTGTTCAAACAATAGATAATGAAGCTTAATGAGGTTTATCAACTCGTTATATATTGTCTTAATTGCATTCGACGCGACCAAAATTCGACGTATAAAACAGGCCTATAGAATAGAATAGAATAGAATAGAATAGAATAGAATAGAATAGAATAGAATAGAAACTTTATTTCACGAGGGAAAACGTATTAACCATAAAAGTTATCTAACTTATGGTCCTCGCACTATTTTGATATTTACAGTACAGGCATAAGAAGTATTAAAGATTACGACTATTTACATATGAGAAAAAAAATAGTAATAATAATAATAATGAATGCAAGGCCTAAGACTAAGTAAGCTTTAAAATCTGCTTTATTTAATATTGACGCGGGTAATAAAAGCGGCTTGGCTGCATATATATAAACAATGTACAACCAAAGTTAAAGGCTATAAAGTAGTCAAAGTATAAACCGCTTTCTTGTGTTAGTTTTTGTGTTCTTTAATTAAAACTGCTTTTGTGTTCTATATTTGTTTCGGGCAATATTTAATTGATGTTAGTAATATTAGTAGCAACAGAATCTGCCAATCTGGAGATTTTGAGATTGCATGGTTGGGTGTTATAGCTTATTCCGTGTTGTAATACGATATCTAGAAGGAAGATTTTGTAATTGTTCGTGTGAAATCGTATTGAGAGTTGCCTGTTGCCCAGTTGTTGCCACAGCTGTTGCCCCGAGATAATGCTCAACACAATAGTTTCTTTTAGTTTTTAGTGCGAAGTTGCTTTGCGCTATCAATTTTGAGAAAAATTCAATCCAGTGACCGATCAATGGATCGTTAGAGTAAACAACCCGGGGGGAGCTTGCAAATGATTTTTTATTAAGTTTTCTAGAGCTTCGCGACGTTCGGCCAACTAATCGTTTATAGCCGTTCATAGATTATAAAAACCTGTATATTTATGTTCATGATGGTGCATGCATGTGTATTACAACTGAAGAGAGAGTGTATTGCAACTGAAGTTGACAGTATTATGAGCAAATCTTTGAGATTCTACCCAATATATAAATTGATGTATATATAAATGTTTTAAATGAATGCATTACGTGCCGATATACGTGCCGAGACAGCTAGTGCTGTTTTCAAATGTACATGCAAACATTTAGATGTAAATATTGAGAAAATCTTTGAGATTCTAGCCAATATATAAATTAATTGTAATATTGTATGCATTACGGCCTTTACGGGCATAGGATATATTATACAGAGCTAAGAAGGAGCGATATAGTGTTGTTTTCAAATGTATAAACATGTCAGATGTAAATATTGAGAAAATCTTTGAGATTCTACCCATATATAAATTGATTTTATGCATGAAGTACTGTTTAATAAACGAGCAGGAGTGTTTTATTAGGTTTAAAGACACGAGCGCGCAGCGCGAGTGGCTTTAGACCTAATAAAACACGACCTGCGAGTTTATTAAACGGCTTCAAACAGGGGCGGCGCTACAGGGGGGGTGTGGGGGGTGGAACACCCCCCACTCGTCAGCTAATCGGCAAATTGTTATCTCAGTCGGCAAAACTGGATTGGCTAAAGATAACCACTGAAGAAACCAAAATTGACCTCCTGAATAATTGAATTCAAACCGAATATCACGAATAGCATGCATCAAAGAAACCACACATGCAGCAATGCAAATTTTTTACGGTGTAAGGTTTAAAAACTGACAGGTATTGTGTATTGTGTATATACTTTAGATGTTTGAAGATCAAATTTCGCGCGTCTGGAGTTAAAATTTGGCTCCAACTTTCGAATTTTCCGGCTGGAGGTAACCTTCCAGTTATATTCCGATTTCAATGATTCGTAAATTAAATGCGTGATTAATAGTGCTCCAAGACGTGGAACAGATTTAAGAAATTTGACTTTTCGAGGGCTGCAAAATGGATGCCGACAGGAATTTTGGGTTTTCTGATTATGCGTGTCTCAGAATGATGCAAATGCCATTTCCGGGATTCAAATTTAAAAATTTTCCGTGCCTTCGGCACGAGCCTCCCCCCCCCCCAATATTTCATAAAATGTCCGCCACTTGCACACACGGTGGCTTAAAAGGTCTTAAAACTGTTTATTCTACCGATAAATAAAGGGGTTTTTATTGACTGGATTTCAATAACTCGGACTGGGATTTCTAATAAAAATCCAACTGGGACTGGGATTTTGCCAAAATTTCAGGTGCAGGAAAATGGGATTGGGATCCCCCCCCCGACCCCCCCCCCACACTTCTTCAGGACCCTCACTATAGGCTAATGACTCGGCAAAATTACCAAACAACAGTCGGCAAAAGATCACTCACCCCCTCCCCCACTCGAAGAGGGTTAGCGCCGCCCCTGACGTTGCCGTTGTATATTTCACATGACTGCGCTTGCACTGTAGCCTAGTATCAGCTGGCACGGACGAGTCTCAGCAGTGTATCGATAGATCGCTTCATTTTTATCCTCTATCAGGAGAATTTCAGCTGTCCTTATGCTCTTTGATGAATGTCCCACTTATATTTAGACGCAATGAAACAACATCAAAACCATCAGTTAATCCAACGAAACTCTGTCGGACTACAGGGGATGGCAATTGTTTATTTAGAGCACTGTCATATATTTTAACCGGTAGACAAACATACCACATGATTTTAAGACAAAAAATAGTGGATCACATGAACAGTATAGAACATGTCCTTAGACCATATATGAATAGTTCAGTAGATCATTATTTAGCCACAAGCAACATGAGGGACAGTGGTGTGTGGGGGACTGATATTGAAATTTTTGCAGCCATTCCCTTTTCAATGTAGATATTTATGTTTATTCACAGTTTGGTAACAATTATAAATGGTCTAAAAAGAAAAAGAATATTGGACACTGAGGCAGCATTACCACCTGGATTTACTTAAACACTGTACTGCCATTGGACAGCTACCTGTACCGTTGTATCAATAAGGGTGCTGTTTTATAGTTGTTCTGTTTAAATTTTTCTGTTCAACACTGTACACTGTACATCGTACAGCTACGATCATTGATGCAGCATGTACTGTATTGGTTACAGCTTTATACTTATAGCTATCATGTTTAAATTGTCCTGTTCAACACTCTAGATCGGACAGCTACGGTCATTTGATATATTACATTGGGGACAGCTTTATACTTATTATAGTTATCATGTTTAAATTGTTCTGTTTAACACTGTACATATCGGAAAGTCACGGTCATTGGATGTACTGATACTGACTGTATTAGGTACAGCTTTATACTTATAGTTATTCTGTTGAACACTATACACACCTGACAGCTACGGTTATTGTACTTTTATATAGATTTGCTTTGATAGTGTGTAGTTTTATAGTAATCTATTCAGATTGTTTTTTCAAGACTGTTAATATTGGTTAGGGACCGGAGACTGTTGATATTGGTTAGGGAGGGGAATTTTTTCTTTTCTAAATTTTTAAAATTGAAAGCCCCCCCCCCCGCCCCCTAAATGGCAGAAATTTAATGATGGCTCCCTGCATATTAGAATATTTTTCTTTGTTTGACCCCCCCATTTTCATTTTTACTCGTCAAATGGGGATACCCAGGCGTTATAGTATTAATTATTAAATAAGAATATGGAACTGGCAAGATATTAACGTCGACCAAAAATATATATTTATTAGCAGAAAATTATAATTAAAAGAGGAGTATTTTTATATATAACACTAAAATCAGGTTTCCATTTGGTCTGGGCGATTGTAACCATGTTTAAGGCTGCAACTAGACTTGATGGTAGGAAGTATTGCCATAGCAGCTGCGCGGCAACAATGAGAGCAACAATCAGTAAAATTAGCAGCAAAAGGAGATAGGAATGACAATTCTGCCAAGGCATACCTGCGAAATACAATGTATAGTGGTCTATACATCCTATTTTATGTGAGATTAAAAATTATATAAAATAAAATGACATAATTATACTAGCTACCAGATAAAATCTTTTAGAATGAACATGGGTGGGTGGGTGGGGAAAAGGTATCGAAGCGCAAAACTTGCTGCAGCCAGAGGCGCCTGAATATCGATAATTGGGGGGGGGGGGCAGATATTCATATATTCGTGTTCTGCCCAATTAATTTCTTTTGAAATCGATTGTTTTTACAGTCTGTGAACACGAATATATGAATATCTGCCCCCGCTATTATCGGTATTCCGGCGCCTCTGGCTGCAGCTGGGCAAAGCATACAATGGCAGAATGAATACCCAGACCGAAGCACTGATCAC